GTCCTTATACAAAGCTTCGGTAGTGAAAAATCGAGGAACGACTACTTTGATATTTTTGAATCCATTTTGGGATATCAGTACCAAGGCGTTTTGGGGTACGTTATCGTGTAGTCACACAGCGAAAACTGTCGTATTTCTGGTAATGCATAATCTTTCATGCCTTTTTAGATCGGCTCAGGAGATTGACCCTTATACAATCAAATGTGAGCCACACGAGTAGTAGTAGTAGTAGTAGTAGTAGTAGTAGTAGTAGTAGTAGTAGTAGTAGTAGTAGTAGTAGTAGTAGTAGTAGTAGTGCCCGTCGTGCAAAAACGATTTTCCGACAAATATGGCACGCCTCAGCTATAGAAAGAGATGGCAAAAGGTCAAATAATGAGACTTCATAAACCATTTTCTTCTAAGGCATAACGACCGACACTTGGCATTTGAGGTGAATGCATCCACCTTTTTCGCTTTTGGTGTGGATGGTTTAAGGCAGTAGTCTTTTATCCGACGCATGTTGCCCCCATAAGTACATTATAAATTATTAATTCCTTGTTATAAGCCTGATTTTCACGTCAGTGTTGCTTTAAGATTAATAAAACACCTGTCAGCATTATCCCTTGTAAAAATAATTTAAAACAAAACCTACAGCTCGGCTAGTTCTCGAAGAGAAGGCTTCTGTACAATTTCAACACATTTTGTGTACTTGCTGAAAATAGACTAAATACTTTTATATACAAAAAATTTAATAATCACTGGAATATGGGAAGAAATAACTTTAAAACTGTACGAATATCTGTAAACCCAGTTTGTCCGATTCGACTACCGCTGTCTACCACGCTGATCATTCGAGAGGCTATATGCTGACATGCGAAACCAATTTTCTGTGGTTTAAAGTAGTTTTTTGCCCATGTGGACCTTCATACCACAAATGCTTGAACTACACTGATTGCTGCATAAGGTAGCCATGTACTTCGTTCTATACAGTCATGATTTGATGCTGTCCATTATTGTCTACTGCGTGACATCCGTGGGCAGTGGAATGTCCATGGAACACGGACATGGATTCCTACTGCATAGTTATTAACATATTTTACAAGCCGACGCTTAACTAGTCTCCCTCCTCTAATTAAGTAAAACGGATGTCATGAAGTTCAGTCAGTGTGCCATGAGGCACCTCTAACTATCCTCCAGTCTACCACTGAGAATGAAAACAGTATGTTTTTCATATTGACCTAACTGTGAAAAACTCGGCGTCTCGGTGGGATTCGAACCCACGCAGTAAGGTGAAGGCTTTAGTACAGCCAACGCTCCAACCACTTGAGCTACGAGGCCCCGCCGGACGACGCGAATTTAATCACATTTGGGTCAAGTTACCCGCCCAACCTACTGCAACATCTGGAATCCACCAAATCTGATACAGTAAGTTGAGTTGCCAAGCAGGATTTCCTAAATAATTCACCTAGAATCCACCAGATGACTACCAGTATGTTTTTCAAAACGGGAAGTCCTTTTGTAGAATCTGCTCGAACTTAGATAATTCCGAAACATGAGGACAGAGTTATAACTGCACATCAACCAGAGCACGGCCTTTCAAAATAAATGATGTATACCTATTCCAACTGTACATTCCATAGTATTCAATATTCTTGAGTACCTGAGTCCATAAACTCGATAAAAGTGCCATCGTGAGGTTATCTTCTTCTTCGGTCTGCATAGTACACACTGAATGCCTTCTAGGGGGATGAGTCACTTTCTGACCTATGGCGCCGCTCTTTGTCGGCGGTGGCACTGGCTTGCATTTCAGGTAGACTAATACCATACCGGCTGAGGCGATGAAGGAGGCTCCGCTATCAAATGAGTATGGGTCTGTTTATAATAGACAGATCTATGACTAAGCACCGTAGACGAATTTAAGAAACCTCCTTGGATGTTTAGTTGGGAGCTAACACACAAGCGTATTCACCTTCCTCCTCATGTAACCGGAGCCCACAAGGGATCGACGGAGGACCAGGTCTTCTGTGTGACGCCAAATGATTTATAATCCTAGCCCATTGTTTACATAAGTGGTTTGGTCAGTTTCCTGCGCAGCCAAGTGCCTGTGGCCTGACGGATCCACATCAGGTATCTGTTGTGCCGTCCGCGAAAGTGTCGCAAGCCTTCTCCTCCTCCTCCTACGCCCAGCACGTGTTCCTGTCTGTTCGCGGTGTTACCTGGCGCCTATTAAGCTGGGGCAGCGGGCCGAGGAATGAAATAGACATAGGCTGTGGCGCCACTGATTTTGTAAACAAACTTCCCATAACCCTTCCCGTTCCTGTTGCTAACGCTGCTGCCGCAGTCTATGTATGCGCGTGCACACGTTCAGTAGAGCTCCCTCAGTCCAATCCTTTGATGAATGGCCCTCCACCAAGCAGCACCCAGGTGTAGCCCACAGAGGGTTGCCTGATTACCTGCAAGTCACTTGTGTTTGTGCATGTGGACAACCTGCAGCAGAGCAGCAGGGACCCACAAGTGGAGGGAAGCTGCTGCATGAGCCCCCCTCCCCCCCACATGATGGGGGGAGCAAAGCTGGGGGGTTGGCGGAGGAGGAGGAGGAGGAGGGGGGGGAGAAGAGCGGACGAAGGCAAGGCTTCACTCACCTCCGGCTGTTCGAAAAACGAATACCGGCGAGACGGGACTGAGACCGTGGCGATTTTGGCAGGTCATTCGTAGAAAGTACAGCTGTCCGGAACGCAGGGCACGAATGATGGTGGAGTTCTGCTCAGCAGGCACAATATGCTCCTTCCATTGAGCATTTGTCTGATAGATGTTGCGAGTCAGGTAGATGCGGTAGGCAATCATTACCCCGTCTTCGGGGGGCGCAGTGGACCAGGTCACCAGAATGGCCGCATCCACGTTGCTCCTCTCCATGTGTCCACTGAGCGGATCGTCCGGAAACCAAGGATTGGTCGTGTGTGAGGGTACTGGAGAGAGCGAGTCCGTAAAATCATGCTCCGTGCTCACTTTGTTGATTTTTATGTGTCCAGGTGGATTTAGTGGGCCTTAAAGTAACCGGATAATAGCGTATGTGTGGATAAGTGTACATGCCTGTTAAAGAACAGTCGGAGGAAATTCTGACTGAGTAGTAGCTGCGTCACGACTAGTATCAGTGAATATTAACTCTGAAACTGACTACTGGCATGAAATTATCAAGTCTGTATTTCATTTAGGGCTCAATTTCCCTTCCATTTTATTGTTGCACTTCATACGTGGTGCCGCGATGGGCCCTTATCAGTATCCGACAGCGACTTGAAGAATGCCAGCCAAACGGGATGAATTGTTGTAATTAAGAAAGCGGATACGCAGGCGTCAGTCGGCATAATGAATGCTGTCAAAGCATGCAACTGACGCATGGGCCGTCGGCTTGTGTTGCACTCTGACTCATAAGGGTTGTCAGGAGCGCAAGTTTTGTGCCATTACAAACCCCCTACATCCGAGCTGCGATTCGCGCTTCTACTTGTGGATGGCCTAGGGCTATGCTTATTTAACTCCATGAAGTCGGACCCTGCTCCCCTGATGTAGGACACCTTGGGTGTTTCGATGATGTCCAAATTTCAAAGTGTTGCCAACCTCTAAATGTGTGTCCAACCGCCGACTTTGTTTTTTCGAGCCGGGAGCCTTTATTTACTAAATGTATGTAATATGAAAGCTGGCGCTGTCGGCGTCGGGGGACGGGTCTCAGCCGGATGCTTTAATCCCACTTTTAGGCTATTGGTTGGAAGCCTTCCTAGGACAGATAACGGTGTATGCATGCATGCATACTATGTGATCGCGCTGTCCCATAAGGGTGACATCGCTGCTGCACAGGGAGTGAATGGGCACACTTCCTGATAAACATCACACTTCTTTGGGATTTTTGGGTTCGCCAGTGTTTCCTGCGGGAGAAGCTTCAGCCGGTGGGTGGGTGAGAGTTCTTCCTGGTGGGCTGGTGTTTGGACGGCATGTGTCAACTCCTCAGGGTCACTGACAAACGCAGTTGCGCGAGCCACTGAAAAGAAAACCTAGCAGATTGCGCGTCCGAATGGCAGTCGCAAGATGTCGGATTCGATACTCCGGCTGAATAGCGAGAATGTGCTGTTTGTCACTGGGTGTGCTTGATGTGGCACCCCTTGAGTTGCAAGGCACTAAATCTCACTCGCGCATCTTTAATTCGACCAAGCGCTCTTTTGATATAAAAGTGAACTTTTTGAAATTAAGTTCCCCATTATCCACCGTCTATTCACTAATTAGCACTTTGTTGGCGAAATTCAGGAAACCAATTACCTGACCGAGTGAATTTTAATTTTCACTTTGTCGGATCGTCATATTTTAAGGGTGCTGCCAACACAATTTGATGTAAATTACTTCCTCACTTTTATTGCAGAGTTAATGTGTAATGAAGTCGGCAGTTTCGCTTACGCCATTCAATGATGTTCGCAATTTTTTATGAGTATCATGTGTGTTTGAAAAAAACAATCGTACCATAGGTACATATATCTGCATGCTTTTTCGACTAGCATATCCAAACACGTACAAGTTTGCTCGTTTCCGAAGACCGTTTGCATTACCTTTATACACACTGAACCGGGTACTTCGATTGGTGTGTAGGAGATAGAAAAAACAGCCCCTTAATTTTTGAACTTACTGATCTGTGAACGACTTTTTAGTGAGGATTTGAAGCGTAAATCCGAAGACATCTTATTTTTTTCTAGAAGGGGTAGAATTCTACGCGTTAACTGTAGGTCTTTTTCATTTTCCCAGCGCACGAAATCTAATTACTTCGCTGGTATTTTGGCATTAACCAACAAACACTGTTGTATACTGGGGAACTCTCAATGGTTCGTCTTGTAAATGCGACTACGAATCTTTTCACGAGTCTTCTTATTCTTACAATTATAAATAAATAATTGCCCAAGATAATTACATGAAACCTCCAAGTTAACAATGCTTTTACTTCGCATGGCTGTTCCCATCGACGCTTTCGACTACCTCTACCTCTCGGTCGTTCCATCTTGA